TCCGGACGCTTCAGTTTCTGGACAATTTTTCATGGGAACGAAATTTTTTAACGTTATTTTGTCTCGTTTAACCGGAATTCCGCGTTCCATATCCGGACGGTCTTTTTTCACCACAAAATGAATTTTTGTACGTTATATTTTGGTTCATTTATCCGGACGATAATTTTTTAACTGGTCTGTCAAGTCTGCTCAAATTTTTTGATCTGGGTGTTAATTGTTGTAAAAACACTGGTCTGCCTGTTTGTTTTAAAAGATGATCACCTGTGACCTGTTATCAATGGCTTGCGGCAAGGTTAATTGTAGGTTGATAGGTCCGCACGAGAATCTTGCTTCTCTAACATGGTTTTGATACGTATTAATTAAGGGAAATAATTTTATAAGTCTAGGATAATTTTTTCGTAGTCGGCAAATATATTTCTTTTACTGTTAGAATAGTCGTAACATGGTTTTATGTATTTATAGACATTACATCGGAGTTTTTTTATGCACAGTATTATGTGCTCAAAACGCATTCTATGATTTTATGACATTTATAAAATCACTTTCAAAATTACACAATCCCTTTGGATGATTACGATTAGCTTTCGTATACATGTGCAGATTATGTCACATTTAGCACTGATGGAGGTTCGTATTAAATAAGACTCTACCGACAGTACCAACATGGCTATTAGAAGTTGATTCATTAGACACTGGGAAGTAGAAATAATTAATGTGATCATATAAACACGTTTTTTTCCAATGACACATGTACTTTTTTATTTATTTAAACAAATATTGAGTAGTACTAACTTATATTAAAGTATTTAATCAATAAAACATATTGATACAAAGCAACATTCTTTACTATTGAAAATGGTATGAAAGGCCATATAACTAAAATCAGCGCAATTCAGGTATCTGGACGCTTCACATATCCGGACAAATTGACTGGGAACCAAAGCGTCCAGATAAATGAGCCTCCACTGTAGTAGCTTTAAATACCATGTTTACAAAATGACTTTTAGCCAATAGGAAAATAGAAAAATATTCAGCCTGATGTTGTATGACGTATGAGGGATATTTTCCCTGAAATATTCAATTCTGATTGGTTAACTAGGAGGTTTCTTTCTGAAAATAAATTTAAAATAAGTTAGCGTCATTCGTTGTCATTCAGTACGAGTTTCAAAATGGCGGCGGAAGCGAATGTTGATGATATAGCTGAAGGAAACATTGAATTAGAAGAAGCTGACGATGAGATGAGAGATTTAGTGAATGAAATATTCCTTGACAATGATTCCGACGAAAAATTTCTTGGGTTTGATGCGGATGATCTGGAAGTTGACGAAGAAAACTTAGCACAATTCCAGGGTGATGACTGGGTGCAAGGAAACTTAGACTTTCGTGACTTCAATTTCGATGGTGAGAAAAAAATTAATGTGGATCTTGAAGAAAACGTAGAAATGATTGATTTTGTGAAACTTTTCATCGATGATCATATGTCATTGACATTATGGTTCAAGAAACCAACAAATATGCTGCGGATTTCTTAGCGTCTCCGCAAGGACAAAATCTGAAACGACAGTCAAGATTCAGAAAATGGAATGACATTTCGCGGGATGATATGCTGAGATTTTTGGCCATAATAATCGGTATGGGACTTGTCCAGCTCCAAGATATTCATGATTATTGGTCAAAAGATGAATTATTGGAAACCCCAGGCCTCAGGAAAATAATGCCAAAAAATAAATTCCTGCTGATGTTGTCTTTGTTACACGTTTGCAACAATGACAATAACATTCCACGAGGACAGGAAGGACATGACCCTATCTTCAAAATAAGAAGAATATTTGACCATCTGAAGCAGAAATTTGCTGATGTATACTCTCCAGGGGAAAATGTAGCAATAAATGAAGGAATGGTTGCATGGAGGGGTAACCTTTCCTTCAGAGTCTATATGCCAGACAAGCCTGACAAATTCGGGATAAAATTCTTTATGTTGTGCGACTCGTCAAATGGTTACTGCTCACAGATTGAAATTTACACTGGTTCCTCAGATGAAGCCTCACCTAAAGGAAAAATCTACGACCTGGTCATGAGACTTATGAACCCGTACCTCAACAAAGGACACAAACTGTACGTGGACAATTTTTATACCTCACCCATCTTGTTCCATGACTTGAGACAACATTTGACAGGAGCTTGTGGTACTCTGAGATCAAATCGCAGAGGGGTTCCAAATGAAATCAAACAAGTGAAATTAAAGAGAGGAGAGTCAGTTGGAATGACAAATGGAACATTACAAGTGTTGAAGTGGAAGGACAAGAGGGATGTTCTCATGTGCTCCTCTATCCACAATGCAGACCTCGTTGTCGTACCAGGCATGAATGATCGAGCAACAGGTGAACCAGTTCGCAAACCTCAGTGTGTCCTGGACTATAACAAGCATATGGGTGCTGTTGACAGATACGATCAGATGATTGTGTATCCAGCCTTCAAAAGAAGAACTGTTAAATGGTGGAAGAAAGTGTTCTTTCACTTGCTGATGATGTCAGTTTTGAATGCATACATCCTGTACAAGGAACACTGCAAGAAATATCAGAAAAAGCCTGTCCTTCAAAGAGTGTTCAGAAGGGAAATTGTAAAGCAGATGATAGCTGAAACCAGTCCTCAGGCAGCAGTTGTTCGGGGAGCAGTAAATCCCAGGGATATGGAGAGGCTTACAGCTCGCCACTTCCTGAGCAAAATTGAACCAAAAGAAGGACAGAAAAGCAAACCTCTAAGAACCTGCCCTGTTTGCTCCACAACTACTGGAAAGCGGAAGACAGTGGGGGATGGAAGGAAAACCATCCGATCATCGTACGAGTGCAAGGACTGTGATGTGGGACTATGTGTTCATCCGTGCTTCAAAATATACCACACCAACAAAGACTTCAAGCTTGGGTATCAACGCTGGACTGATCAAAACAGGGGAGCAAATGAGGAAAGCGATTAAATATCTTACAATTACTGTTTCATATAAGAACTTGAAGCAAATTTAGTGAATTATATATACATGTGTCAGAGATGTAGAGGAACTTAGCTAGCTCTGTTCCTGGATCAGTGCTTTCAATTGATTGGAAGGAATATAACATAGACATTTTCTTTCTTGTTAAATGGTAAATTTTTGTACATTATATCTATCAAAACATTATTTAATCTTCAGCTTAAATAATCATAATATTATGTTGGGCTTAAAAAAAAATTTTTTTTTTGCTTAAAAATAATTAAATCATTAATTTATTTCAAAAAATGAAAAAAAATCTCATTAAACTCTTTTTTCCTTGATGATACCATTGTGTCTTTTTATTTTCTATTATTTTAAATTAGATAATCAGGTTCTCCAATTATTAATGAATCAATATTATATAGGGTTCTATTATGTAAGATAAGTAGAAAGTGCTGAAAACAGCAGGATAAGGAAGATAGCATCATTATGGCATTTTTCTCAAAACATGGCGGCAGCGAGAGAAGCTGCTGATAACAGACAGCGAGGCACTGCATGCAGTGCTTATCAGTTAAGTCACTGGCAGGACTAGGGTTAAAGAACTAAAGAAAAGGGGATATAACAATATGATAAATTGTTTAGCGTACATGTGATATGTACCGGCGGTAGGCAAAATGTACCGTTTTTTCAAGCCCATTCATCGTGTACCAGCAGGACACCAAAATTCACAGAATATGAAAATTTGTACAGTATTTTGAATTTCTCGCTAAATGCTGCCATTTTCCTCTCATTCTCGCTCGCGAAACACTGGAAAAAGTCACCTGTGTTTGACACTTGACCTTCTGATAATTGTGTAGTGTGAAGGTGTGAACTAATTATCTTGCTATAAATCCATATCAAGATACCCCTTTAGGTAGCTTTATTTTTAAAGGGGTACTTAATTATAACTGTTAATGTTTCGTAACTTGATTGAAAAAAATTAAAGCCAACTTCTAAAGTTGATATAGCCTACATGACTTAATACACATGAATATGACCCAGATCTCCGTAGGTATAAAATATATAATGTTTATTACCATGATTACGCTGAAATAAAGGATATAGTTTTAAGTTTTTATGTGGTGAAATTTATGTATGATTGTATTTGCTGCTGTTATTTAGCACTGCTGATGTATATATCAGTAATATGAACAAGATGTAAATTGGAGACATTGACTCTCACGTTAACAGGTTAATACTATATAAAGCTGGCAAACAAACTACAGTGTATCATCTAAACTAGCTTAATTTATGGCGGATTCATAAGAACATTGTGATTATAAAACACAATATATGAAATTTTAAAGCATTCAAATCTCCATTACAACTTTTAAAATAAGACAATTGCAACAATATATATTTTTGGATTAGAAATAAGGTGCCTCAATAGAAGAACTTAATCCATATTTTATACCATTTATTGTACCATTTTTTGATAGGCAGTGTACAGTTTTTTCACCCAAATTCCAGTGTTTTTTTTTTATGGCTCCTGTACAGTTTTGTGGTCTTTGACTTATCACATGTATTGTTTAGTCAAATTTTTAATTGGGTTTGATGTTCTATTAATGCTTACAACTTCGCCTTTGAACTCCACTTTGCCTACTGTTCACATTATTAATGTAGTCTCAGAAGTCTTATTACACCTGACTTATCTTTACTACAAGACCACAGCATAACATTTCTACTAAGTATAAATATGTTGTATGTTATGGTAGCTGTTTTTAACTGACATAGTTAAATTGACATGAGAAAAATGATTTTAATGAGACTACTTAGCTATTGTTCGGCTAAAGCCCCCAATTACATGTATTTGTAAAGACTATCCAAGTGAAACTGACATCCCTAGTTAAAAGAAGTAATTTGCTAAAGTGAAATCAAATCCCCATAATATTTACCTTAAAATACCCACCCTAATACCAATTTAGATTAAATTCCAATACCCACCCTCCACCTAATTCTTTATTCCTTTCTATCAACAAAACCTTCTTAAACAAACCTTTCTGGTATTCCTCAAAGCCCTGAACTCCCAGCTCTTCAATCATCCTCAGTTTCCACTGCTCCAGTACATACTTCTGATAGTCTGTTTGTGTGGCACTGAGAATCCTGGTGACAGCTGGATTGCTTCTCAGTTTTAATCTCTCAACAAAGGCTCTGAACTTTTCACTTTTTTCTTCAAGTTCAAGAAGCTGGAAAAGTTTAACACTTTTAATAAAAGCTAGAGTTTCTGCCTCTTCATCTGTCAAATTGTTCAGTGCTTTTAAGATTTTTTTAGTTGAAGATCCCTGAATGGCTTTTGTTGACTTCCTACTTTTATGCTCTACTCGTTCAGCACTTTCTATTTCTAGATCACTGGCAGTATCTGTAGATGGTGGATCCCCTCCACCACTGGACTTAATAGCTACAAGTTTCTGAACTCTACTAGTCTCATTTTTGTTTTTCACATCATTAGATTTGGCACCTTGGATGATTGAGGCTATAACATCTTGTACACTATTTTGTCCATTACTGTATTTGAAGTGTTGTATATAAAAACAGCCGTTTGAACTGCATTTAGGATGAAAACTTCTCCTTTCAAAGTGTCTACATAATGCGGAACACAGACTCAACATTATTCATTCCCCAAAGCCACACATTTTCAGAACCTGAAATACAAGAATACAACAAGCTAAATATTAAAATCATTCAGTTTTCAAAAGAATCTTCGAAGGTCTATGTACACATTTACTAACATCACCTTAATATTAGTACTCTTATCAAAAATGGTATGATTTTCAGAGGGTAGGCTTGTCCCAAATGATAAAAGATATCGAGTTGAGATATACAGTGAGGGTAGAGGGAAGAATGTAAATTTGCCATTAGGCATCCTTATAGTGTTGTTACGATTGTCCCCGACTATAAAAAAAATCTTCGCTAAAGGCAGCACATCAGCGACAATCGATAGAAAACTTTAAAATCGATAGTTGCTATTTTTTTCAAAACATTATTTTTATACGAACTGATTAATCTTTTTACATTATCAGAGGAGGTTCCTCTATTTCTGCACAAAGTGTTCAATGTTCGCTCTCTGTTCCTTCACTTTGCTTTCACCTTGCGTTCAGCGCTCACTTTTCGTTCAGTCTTTAGTGTCATTCGGAACTCCAAAGTGAAAGGACTTATATTATCTTTTTGTTAGTAAGGATTTACAAATTTTTTGATTTAATAATTAACATATCATGTTTAAAGAATCATTATCTCAAGGGAAAAAATTTATTCACAATATTCCAACTTATTATTATTATCTAACTTAGCTATAAGGTAATTTACTCTGGAAAATAAATGTTGTTATAAGTATGTACCTTTGTAGAATGATGCTGAAAAATAAAATTTAAATACGGACAATATTAAGATACTTCAAGCACTGCAACAACAAAGAATTATACATAGTACTGCAGGTATCCTGTTAATTAAATATCTTTGGAGCCAATTGAACTGACTCTACTATAATATATAAAGTCTATAGTTAGAGAGAAAAATCTTTCTTCACTGTAACTTTATATGTTTGACATTCGATATGATTAAGAGCCTACCCCCCCCCCCCCCCCCCCCCAAATCGGTTACTAAGTCAGTATTTCCAGTATGTTTTAATTATCATTTAAAAAGAAGTTAATGTGTTTTGTAGCACAAAAATTGCAGTCTCAAAACAACATGCATCTATAAAAATCATTAAACAATAGCAGTTCAAAATATACACGTGTCTGCAGTGGTATTTTAAATTGGCAGAGAGTATGTTTCAATTTCAAGTGTTAATGCCCAATGTATTTTATTTATTATCATTTTTTTTTTTAGAAATGTTGGAATCAAATCTAGGAATGATAAAAAAAATGTTAAAACTTGTTTGAAATATTAGTGCTTCATCTTCGGTGTGACGAGAATTTCACACCTGCACAGTGTCGAATGATTTTGATTGACAGGACACTCACGTGGACTTCGTGTGATCTTGAAACAGGAAAATTACAAGAAAAAAAATGAGTATGACTGTCAAAAAAATGGATTTGTTGAATAAAAAAAGTTACTTTCATTGCCTGATATAAAATTAGAAAAAAAAAACAAGTTTTTTTGTTTGATATAGGTACAAACATTTTGTGAAGCCTGAAAAGGGGGGGCGGACTGAATCTCTCTCTCTCTTTCTCTCTCTCTCATTTGTCTGTTTAATAAAAACTATGACAGCATATACTGTAAACCAACTTTTATTCGCGTGCGAGAAATTTTCGTGAGGTTTGCGAGAGCCTCGTCATCGTGAATATTTCTCGCCAAGAACCAGTCCTTAAAGTCTCTCTTTCTGTTAACAACAGATAAAAAAAAGGCTTGATCGCGAAAATTAATCGCCCCGAACTAGTTTATCCCTGGTAAATCACGAAATAAGTCGTCGCGAATAAAAGTTGGTTTACAGTATTTAGTTCTGAAATTTTAATCTAAAACAAATAATATGAATATGCCTCTTTGTATTATCTTGTCTGAGTAAAATCACGGGGAAATGTCTACAGGTAGATGTAGAAGTCTGCTCAATAAATCATCATAAAAAAATAGAATTGACACATAAATTTATTATTGCATTAAGAATTTAAAATACGAGTGTATTAATGCAAATACGTCCACGGACCTTTGTTAATTTTTTTTCATTATTTTACAGGAATCACCTTGGCATGGAAATATAAGAATGGATGTTACAACTGTTGTAATTCATTCTATAATTCAGAAGTTTTCTCTTATATGTAATGGTTATTTATATCGAATAAGAATGGACATATTTATTTTCCAACTAAAATAATTATATCTTTTATATTACAGCGTTCGGTAACAATTACATGTAAAATCTTTTACAGCAATAAAAATCGTGTGATTACATGTAAAAAGTTGAATTTAAACATCACACAAGAAAGATACTTAATGTGCATATCATCTCTCTTAAGAAAATTTTGTAGCATTTATTTATTTAATCATCGATTTGTTTATTTATTTATTATTTATTTATTTTTTGGCACCTGACATTAGAATACAATAGAATGGTTTCAATGCAAGGAAAAGATCAGAAGCATTCCAAATAAATCGTTCATCTTGTGTTCACCGTTTGCTTTGCGTTTGCACTCCATTCGTGTTCTGCGTTTGCTCACCGTTCACTCTTCACACATCATTCACCAAGTTGCGTTCAGCATTCACACATCGTTCACTCATCCTTCGCTCTGTGTTCGTTCAGCGTTTGTTCACCGTTCATTGAGTGTTCGCTCACCGTTCAAGTGATAAAGTAGAACATTTCAGGGACTGTAACAAGAGGCCCAAGGGCCTTGAATCGCTCTTCTGATAAACTGTACAACCTATCACTTTTATTTGAAGCCTCTAAGTATCCTGTATATTTAGATAAAGCCTTGAAATTCCAAAGGTTGGTCATTATGACCTACATTTTAGATGGAACACTCTTGAGGACCCAAGATGATTCTAAGCCATGGTGACCTACTTATCACTTGTCATTCTCTGAGGACCCATGATGCATCAACTAAGTTTGAATACTGTTCGTTATCTCCATATATTTCATTTGATGATTCTAAGCCAATTAATACCTAAAACATTTTTTAATTATAATGACAAAATTTCTAAAGTAGGTCACAGTAACCTACTTTTCAGATGACATACTTTGAGGACCCAAGATGCATCAACTGACAAAGTATAATGATTCTAAGCCAATTAGTTCCTGAAAAATTTAATTAAAGCCATAAATTTTCAAAAGTAGGTCATGGTGATCTACTTTTCAGTCAACCTACTCTGAAGACCCAAGATGCATCAACTGACAAAGTTTGATGATTCTTAGCCAATTAGTACCTGAAATATATAATTATAGTCGTATAAATTGAAAAGTTGGTCACGGTGACCTACTTCTCAGTCGACCTACTGCAAGGACCCAAGATGTATTAACTGACAATTTTTGATGATTCTAAACCAAATAGTACCTGAAAATATTAAATTGAGCCACAAAATTTCAAAAGTAGGTCAGGGTAACCTACTTTTCAGTTGTCCTACTCCAAGGATCCAAGATGCATCAACTGACAAAGTTTGATGATTCTAAGCCAATAGTAAATTTTCAAAAGTAGGTCATGGTAACCTATTTTTCAGTCGACTTACTCTGAAGACCCAAGATGCATCAACTGACAAAGTTTGATGATTCTAAGCCAATCAGTACCCGAAATATTTAATTATAGTCATATAAATTGAAAAGTAGGTCAATGTGACCTACTTTTCAGTCAACCTACTGCGAGGACCCAAGATATATCAACTGACAAATTTTGATGATTCTAAACCAAATAGAACCAGAAAAATATTAAATACAGCCATAAAATTTCAAAAGTAGGTCAGGGTGACCTACTTTTCAGTTTTCCTACTCCAAGATGCATCAACTGACAAAGTTTCATGATTCTAAGACAATTAGTTCCTGAAATATCTAATTAAAGCCATAAATTTTCAAAAGTAGTTTTCAGTCGACTTACTCCAAAGACCCAAGATGCATCAACTGACAAAGTTTAATGATTCTAAGCCAATTGGTACCCGAAATATTTAATTATAGTCAAATAAATTGAAAAATAGGTCACTGTGACCTACTTTTCAGTTGACCTACTGCAAGGACCCAAGATGCATCAACTGACAAATTTTGATGATTCTAAGCCAAATAGTACCGGAAAATAGTAAATGCAGCCATAAAATTTCAAAAGTAGGTCACGGTGACCTACATTTCAGTTGTCGTACTCCAAGGACCCAAGATGCATCAACTGATAAAACTGATCAACTGATGCATCAACTGATAAAACTGGTACCCGAAAATATTAAACACAGCCATAAATTTTCAAAAGTAGATTTCTGTGACCTACTTTTTAGTTTTCCTACTCCAAGGACCCAAGATGCATCAACTGACAAAGTTTGATGATTCTTAGCCAATTAGTACCCAAAATATTTTTGAAGTGACCTTGAGACCATGCCCTTTGCCCAAGGGTAAATCCCTGTGCAAATTTTAATCTACAACATATCCTCAGGGACCAACCTAGACCCAAAATTTAGGAAGACTTCACTTCTCCCTCAGAGAAATTTAGGGAGAAGTTTAAAATTCTAGGGAGACTTCTTGGCGTGTGTGGCGCACATTGATCATTATTAAAATTTCAATAATTTATCTGTATTATTAAAACATCCTAGTAAGAATACTTAAAAAAGAGACGAAAGATTCTTTAAGAAAAAATAATTGCTTGATATTTTTCCAATTACAAGGTATATAAATATCTAGCAGAGAGAAAAAATAATTCAGTGACATCTAAAAGTTTCTAATTGATAAAGTTCAAAGGTATATCTTATAATATGCACAATAACTGTTTAATGATTCACACATTTTTCTCTCATCGTATTTTATATTTTCAGGTTCTTGGCATAGTCATAATTTTGTTATTTTCTCTTTCAAAGTTCGTTTTCAATATTAAATTCTTTAAAAAAAAATACTTTAAAAAAAAAACAAAACAAAAACAAACTAAGTCTTGATGCACTACTGCATGCCAATTGAAGGAATTATGTTTATCATAAATGTGTAATCTCTTACACAGTTAATAACTCTACAATTTAACAGTAAAAATAT